AACAGGCTGCCCAGGGGCGGGCGGGAGTCACCGTCCCTGCAAGTGTTCACAGCTCGTGGAGCCGAGGCCTCAGTGCCAGGGGTTAGTGGTGGCCTTGGCAGGGCTGGGATAAAGGTTGGACTTGATGAGCTTAAAGGTCTTTTCCAACCTGGTTGATTCTATAATTCTGAAGGCCTTGTGGTGCCCATCAGCTGTTCCTGCAGTCCAGGAGCACAAGCCAGAGTGGGCTCAACAAGCCCTGGTTTAACACAGTTCTCTCGATTTCCCCCCCGCCCCCCAAAATCAGCCTCTGGATGTAACGTTGCTACAACCACCCTTGAGCATCCCTCAGCCTTTGGAGCAGCTTGATCGTGTTGTGAGCATTGAGATGTCCACATCCTGTACAGTGCCCTTCTACCTCAAAGTGCTTTGCTGATGTTAAACTGCAAGGATTAATCTCTGTGCTGCCCATGTGAGGGAGATTAGTGATGCTTTTGCTTCACAGAGGAGGAAACAGAGCAATTTATGCAAATCATACGGGCACAGGGAGTCCACTGTCAGTGCTTGGTTTGCTGCTGACGGCTCCTGTACCATAGCCGGAGCTTTAGCTTCTTGGAAAATGACCTTAGGAAGCTGGAACTCTGCAACTGTCCCCAAAACAAGGGCATGGAAGTTGTAGGAATTGATGTTGGAAACGTGTTTAATTAAGCAAATTGTCAATGAAGTGTTACAGACATCTGGGCCAGATGTGGGTTTTACATTAACGTGATGAGGTGCTTGGTAGACGACCACTCTGGTCCATCATTCACGAGGAGGTATCCGAGATGGTCTGTGGCTTGGGTTGGAGAACATCCAAGTGGTGAAGAAACCTCTGCAGTTCAAACCATTTGCTTGCAATGCCCTTGGGTTGCTATGAAGTGACTGTGCTCTGTTACAAACCTATTTCACACGATTCAAACCCAGTCCATCTGTGACAACAGCAGTTGCTGATGGCAAGAGCTCTCCTTGTAGAGACGAGGTGTTTGTTGGGGGACTCGTGGCTCACCAGTGTCTGTCTCCTGGCAGGGACTATGCCATGGCAAACCTGAGTGTGAATCTCTACACTGTGAACGAGCCCTGGCTGTACTCCATCCTGTGGTGTGCTGGTGTCCAGTCGGTCACCTCCGACAGCTCCCACGTCCTTCGCAAGGTGCCTTTTCCCACCTGGCTGATGGTAAGAATGCTGCTGTGATCCCCTGGAAGGAGGGGATGCAGTGGAGGGGTGTAGAGGTGGCCATTGGCCGCTGCAGCCACGTGTCCAGTGGGTTTCTATGGGAAGGTTTGGTTGGATTCAATGTGCTTTTGGGCCTGACGGTTCCCCTTTCTGTATGCCTGAACCTCAAGGTAGTAACAGATCAATGCTCCTCTTGCACAATCCTTTCCATCAGATGGCCTCATACAGGGTTTGGGTGGGATTCCTGGAGATGTGTTGCATGCCCCATTTGACCCACATGATTTTCCCATTTTGCTCCTGAGGGAAAAGCATCTTTCCAGATGTGCTGAGCAGCTGTTGGAGTTGCAGCAGAGGCAGACATAATGGTGAACCAGCAAACCTGGCTTCTGTGTTCTGGTCAGGCTGCAGCACTAGCTTTTTTTGCATGGTTTTAACTCCAAATGAGGCCAAGTCTTAACCTCTGGCTACCCCATTGCTGCACAAGGAACAATCAGAGACCAAAGGTCCATCATGTAGCCAGTAAATGTTCTGAAAACACCCCTAGTACTTTGGGTCTCTGAACTAAAAGAACTTCATGTTGGATTGAAGAGAAAATGATGGAATAGTTGCATTAGAGTATTCCCAAAACAAGAGCTCAGCTGCAGAGGAGTAAGTGTATGTGATGGAGGGGATGTTTTCTGATAACGGATCCTACTGGGAGTAGGACAGGAGGCTGCTCTGGCAAATCTGCTTGGGAAAGGGGAGAATGAGATGAGCCCAAGGATGATTTAATGTTGATGAGCTACGTGCATCTTTAGCTGGAGGGAGGACCTCAAGATGGATGAACATCTATGTGTGATGTTCAGCTTAACCTACTGCTTGTGTCTGACTCCACAAACTCACACTGTGTGTGCTGAAGCTGGAGACTGGAAATGGTTTTATAAAGACTGAATGTGTTGGTAGATGAGATTATCATGGTCTGATTTGTGCTGCTGCAAATATCTGTCCTCCACAGCTGGCAGGTTTTTACTCCAGAAGCCTCTTTGCTGATATTGGAGCCCTCCACCAAGGGTTTTCCCATCTGCTGGATTTCCAACACAGCCCTTGGCTGCAAGTGCACACTCTTGTATCACCAGCAGCATAAAGGTCCCTTGATTTCCTGCATGTCGAAGTGCCTGGGTGATGTATTCTAACCAGCTTTGTACCATCTGAGCCCCATCTACCATATAGGACATGGCTGGGGAGCTGGAACAGAGTATTGCTTGGCTGCCCAGTGCCCTCAGGGGCTTTGTTGGGCTTTATCACCAGCTGAGCAGTTCAAATCTGTTCTGCTGCCTTCACCCAGGAGCCATTTCCAGTGGCAAAAATACCTTTAACTTGTGTTTCAGTTAAACAAAAGGGGAGAATGAAGCAAAAGTGTCTTTCTTCCCTCTACTCTTGATGGAAAGTGGCTGGTAAGAAGAGAGAGCATCAAACATGGCATAAAGGAGGGCTTCTAAATCTTAAGCTGGAGTTCAGTCCCCAACTTGATGTCCTTAAAGCAAGTACTCAGTTAAGGGATCCTTATGTGCATTTTTGGGAGTCTCTGTCTCAGAGCTGGGGTTTGAGTTGCTCTCTGCCTGGCTACACTGAGTTGATGAAGGCTTTGATGGGCTGCAAAGGTGAGGATTACAGAAATAGAACTTAGAGTGGGTAAAGCTTATAAACCCCCCAAATAATCCCACTGGAACAGCCTTGTTTAAAGAAGAGGAACTGCAGGTGAAATATAGCAAATTCCTGAGCAGGTCTTGCTTTGGATGGAGCAGGACAAGTTGTCTCCTCAACAGGTGTTTGCTGACCCGTGTTCCCTCCTCTGCAGGGCCAATGGGGCATCCGTTCATGAGGCACTCGTGATGTGTGTAGGGTGAATGTCTTTGGGAAAATCCAGTTTTCCCTCTTCTGAACACCTTGAAATTCCATTTTTGTCGCTTACAAAACCTTGATTTGGTACCAAAACCTTCTGGCTTTGAGATTTCTGCAGGACTTAAAAATGTGTATATGGAATACCTCTAATCAGATGCTAGAGTTTGCCCAGGAAACTCATGTCTACCTTTTGCTTGGGGTATGTCATAGGAAACGCAACTTTTGCCCCATAGGAAAGCCTGCTGATTGGGTTCTTGAGTTGTGAAATACCAATGGCTGGATAAGGGAAAGATGTGGATGGGTAGATTTTGTTCTAACTTACAGAACTCTGGAGTTTGTATTTGGAACAGTTCTGGTGGCACTTTCCTGCCTAGAAAATGGGACATGTCAATTTTGTGTCTGATTATCTTAATAGATCCAGTAAATGTAACATTTAATGTCACCCTTCTGTAATTCAGCTGGGAAACACAAGGATTAAATCCCCATCAGCGGCGCTGGCTAATTAAACGATTGTCATGCTAATTGCATGGTACCACTTCCACAGGATAAATTGAGACACACAAAGTTGCACTGAGGGGGAAAAACCCAAGTTGATCAATGCTGGGAGACAGAGGTAGAGGAGTTGATGGCTCCCAACTGGTTTTATCTATGTCAGCCACTGTGTGAACTCATCTTTATGCATTATGTAGTCTATGTCTCTACTGAAATACTACTGTGAGCTTTAATGCTGATGGTGGTTACGATGGGTCTGTCAGTAACCTTTTTCTGGCTGGGACTAGTCCAGGTTTGGGATAAGAGAAATCCATTGGCATCACTGTCTCCTGACACTGTGTCACCCATGTGCTGGGTGCACCCCCAGAGCGTGAGCAGCAGCTCAGGGAGGGGATCCTGCCCCTCTGCTGTGCTCTGGGGAGACCCCCCCTGCAGCCCTGATCCAGCTCTGGGGAACAGCACAAGAGGGACGTGGAGCTGCTGGAGCGAGGCCAGAGGAGGGCCCGGAGCTGCTGCGAGGGCTGGAGCAGCTCTGCTCTGGAGACCGGCTGAGCGAGCTGGGCTGGGGCAGCTGGAGAAGAGAAGGCTCCTCAAGGGGACACCTTAGAGCAGCTCCAGGGCCTAAAGGGGCTCCAGGAAACCTGGAGAGGGGCTTTGGACAAGGGATGTAGGGACAGGACAAGGGGAATGGCTTGAACCTGCCAGAGGGGAGACTGAGATGAGCTCTGAGGCAGAAGCTCTTCCCTGGGAGGGTGCTGAGGCGCTGGCACAGGCTGCCCAGGGCAGGGCTGGAGTCACCGTCCCTGCAAGTGTTCACAGCCCGTGGAGCCGAGGTCTCAGTGCCAGGGGTTAGTGGTGGCCTTGGCACTGCTGGGATGAAGGTTGGACTGGACGAGCTTAAAGGTCTTTTCCAGCCTGGTTGACTCTCTGTTTCTATGTGCAGTGTCTCCGTGTATCTCTGTTTTCCCCACAGACTTGGATTTCCCAACAGCGTCTTACGCTCATCTCGAGCAACAGCTGAGATAGAAACTTTCAGCCCACAGATCTCTAAGAAAATGCCCGCACATGAAAGGAGGGAGAGCTTAAATTGTTCCTGTTTGTGGTTTTTCCTGATAACATCATTTTGAAGGATGCATTTTAGGAATGTCATAAACGTTGTGATTTATACACGATTCCTACAGCTCTTTCTGCCTTGGTGGTAACTTTCCCATGGTGTGGTCTCTCTGTGATTGAACAAACCAGAAGGTTTAAGTTCTGCCTCTGTTCTTTGTCTTCCAGCCTCCAGACGAGTACCGCCTGATCTGGATCACATCTGATCTCATTTCATTTATCGTAATTGTAGGAGTTTTTATATTCCAGAAGTAAGTAGCATTGTTACAGCTTAACTGTACTGTTATTCGTGACATGGGCTTTTGTTCAGAGCATGGGGTGGAGGTGGGAGAGAGGAGCAGCGTGCTCCAAAGGTGCTTGGATTGCAACAGCAGGGAAACTCTTTGTTAAACCCCCTACAGTGACTGCAGACAGTAATTCCACTTCTGAGATGTGGCATTGAATTGGATGTAGGTGCTACTTTGTAGGAAGAGAGATCTTAAGATAGTTGTGGTAGATGCTTTGCTCGTAAATGCTTGTGGGAGAGAAACTAAATGCTTTAGAGAAATAGACATTGGGAAAGAGATTAAAATGTTTTAAAGGAAGAATCATAGAAGGTTTGGGTTGGAAAGGACCTGAAGATCATCCAGTTCCAACCCCCTGCCATGAGCAGGGACACCTTCCACTAGAGCAGGTTGCTCCAAGCCCCTGTGTCCAACCTGCCCTTGAACACTGCCAGGGATGGGGCAGCCACAGCTTCTCTGGGCACCCTGTGCCAGCGCCTCAGCACCCTCACAGGGAAAAGCTTCTGCCTTACATCCAACCTGAACTTCCCCTGTTTCAGTTTGAACCCATCACCCCTTGTCCTATCACTCCAGTCCCTGATGAAGAGGTGATGTTCTGCGATTCCACTATTACAGTCTTCAGAAAACCATGCTATAATTTTCTTAAATCAGTTTGTTCCTGTTTGGATGAAGAAATAGAAACACGATTTAGCAAATCCAATCAGTCACTTAGCTCGATGTCTATGGGAAGTCTCTCCATTCTCCAAAGGAAAGCTACAGCAAGGATCTGATGGAGGGCATTGCAGAAGCCTCTCTGTTAGCCAGGGTCCCTGAAAACAAACGTGGAACAGAAAACCTAGAGGCAGAGCGAGTTCAGACCCTGATAAATCAGGAGGAGGTAAATCAACTTTCTAATGGCAGAGGTGGCAAAACTACTCTTCTCATGATTATGCTGGAGGAAGCTGCAGTGTCCTCCCAGTGATGTGCCTTTTCTCCTAGGAGGCATTTGAGCTGTCAGTGGTGACAGTGTAATAACTCTCTCTGGGAGGAAGCGTGAGCTCAGAGCGATGCAGTCTCTGTCACTCTGAAATTGCATCCCCTATTCCCCGGGCTCTATAATCTTACCTGCTTTGGCATGCACGAACAGCTGTCCTGAAGACATCAAGGGACCTACGCTTCCCTTCTGTCTTGAGATCCAAGATGCCTTCGCGTTGGGAGCAGCAGTTTAATTTGCTTCAGCCTCCTGAGCTAGTGATTTTGCTGTCACGTTGTCCCAGATCATCTGCTCGCAGCAATCTCTTTCCTTCCCCTGGGTGCATAATTACCTGGGTATATTTGCTGTGTTACAGGAGGCATCGCTCCTGCCAGCACCTCCTGTGAGTTTGACTTCAGGCCACATGTTGGATCTGTTGATAATTGTCTAAATGCAGAGTCCTGTGCTGGTAGACCTGTGCCCTGCAGGTGCCCATTCCAATAGAATGAGCAGCAGATCCAAAACTCTCCTCTCACATGAGATTTCTCAGTTATTTAATGAAACCACCAACCAAGATGAGATTAAAGCTTTCTGAAGTAGTTTTGTGATCTGAATTGTGGCCCATGTAAACCTCTCCTCCAGAAGTTCATTGTGGCCGTGTTGTCTAGAAGCTTCCTCCACTCCCTCAAATTCGTCAGTTGGTTTAATAAGAGATGTCCCTGCTCTTTAGACCCTGTATTTCTCTGTCAGGTGCAGAAATGCAGGGAGGAGGCTGGAGGCAGGGAATGACCTCTCTGAGGAGCAGAATTTGAAGCCAAGTTGATCTTTGCAGCCATTTCCATCACTTCCCAAAGCCAGTTTTAGAAGGGTTTCTTTAATCAGGAGACCACAGCTGAAGGAATGAAACTGATTCAACCTGATGAATGGGAACTATAGGTCCCAGAACACAGTGAAATGGTGCATGCTTGGAGAGAGGGAGCAGTCACAGCTACGTGGACTTTGCAGTAGTTGGGCTCTTCCTCTCTGCACAGATTGACTCTCTTCCAGCTTGGAAGAGGTTTGATAGAGTAGGGCAAGAGGAAGCAGAGTAAGGAAGGAAAGCATTATTGCAGGATTTCTCTTCCACCTTCAGTGTGTGAGAAGTGAGGGGAGCTGGAAGCCACCACCGGCTTTCCTCAGGGTCCATCAACCTGGAGCACTGAGCTCCCAGCCTCTGGACCTCACTTAGAAAGGCAGTTGTTCAGAGAGGTCCTGCCCTTCCCATCATAGCAGGGCCCAATTTTGTCTTTTGAATCTCTCCCTAGGGATAACTCATGGAATGAATCACAGAATGGTTTGGGTTGAAGGGACCTTAAAGCTGATCCAGTTCCAACCCCCTGCCACAGACAGGGACATCCTCCACTAGAGCAGGTTGCTCCAAGCCCCTGTGTCCAACCTGACCTTGGAATTCATGGGGGCTGGACTAGATAACCTTCGAAGGTCCATTCCAAGCCAAGCTAGTCTATGAACTCAATGCACGTCAGTAGGAGGAAGAAGGAGAAACCTCCAGTATTAGAAGTAGGACTTTTTGCAGCAAAAGGCTTGCTCTTCCAAGAGCCTTGTGCAGGAGAGCCCCATTTCCCTGCCACTGCATTTTCCCCACCACACGAAAGGGTTGGTCTCAGTGTTACATCTCAAATATCAAAAACAAATCACAGAGTTGCCCATCTGCTACCTGCTGATGTGATTAAGCTCCAGGAAACAGGCTTTGGCGTTTGCCCTTCGGTGTCGTGGGTTTGTTATGTTATTCCAAGTCAATTTTGGGATAAACCAGAGCTGCTTCCTTCATGCAAGGACGGAGGGGGTGGGTGTGAACAGAGCCACCGCTTCGATGTGCTCGTCCTCTCTTCTACGCATGGCTTGGCTCTCCTCTGTAGCCATGGGTAGGGATTGCTCCTGCTCTTCTGCTTCAGCCCTGGTGACAGGATCGTGGCAGCCTCTCCGGAGGGGAAATACCGACTGTGGTGACTTCTAACTGATCTCTTTTTGCCTCTTTGCCTTGTTTATTTTCTTACTGCTCTGACTGTTGTGCATGTTCCTCCTCTTTCTCTCTCTGCTGCATTCTGGCATCTCACAGCTATCACATGATCAGGTAATTCTGGTGCTTTCCTCCTCTTTCTCTTTTCCATTCAACCTTCCTCTCTCTGTTTCTTTCTCCCTCTTTTCTGTGGCTTCACTGCAGATGGACACAGCTTTTTCTGATGCTTTCAAACATCCAGCTTCACAGGGGGACCATAAGTGTGTGAACATTGCATAGCCCACAGCCATGAGCACCACAGAACTCTGATGCTGAAGCTGGTGGATGTTTTGAAGGCAATCTGACCTTCTGATACAACGGTCTAAGTTGCTGCCTTTTAAAACAACCCTATTCTGATGTCCCGTAGCATGTTGTGATGGGAAATTCCCAGTGGATGTAATGGAAATAATCTCATGCAAAATATCACCTTCCTTCTGCATTTACCAGAGGTTTTGGGGACCAACCTCTTTAAATTGGCCACTTCCAAAGAAACTAATGTAACTTGTTCAATACATAAAGCAGCGCTTCTGTAGCCCTGGGAATGAATTGATAAGGCTAAGAGCTGGGAAGGTTTGGCTTATCAATTGCTGTATTTGGATCTTGGGATCTTTGAGTCTCTTCCCAGTTACACCACTGTGAAACTGGGAATTGAGTGTGAAAATACATAGGAAAAGGAAAGCAATGAGCCTGGGATGGTGGATTGGAAGTGCCATCAACTGGACAACCAGATTTCTCCTTGTTTTGGCTGTTTTCTCACGCTATGTTCTCCTCCCCTTGGAGGGAATCACTGTCACTTTCCTGCAGTAAAGCCTTCACCACATCCATACTGGGACCAAACTCTTCACGTGTTTCCTTCTCCATTCCTTCTGCTGTGCCATGGGGTTGGATTCCTGAGGACTTGGCTACTCCCCATCTGTGCTTATCTGCCCCTTCCCCTCTGCCCACCCATTGCCTCAGGGGTTGGGGTTGGCCACGTGCATTGCCTGCTCCATGAGGTACCTTGGATTTGTAGTGCTACATCCTCGTGGCATCTCCCCACAACAGAACCTGGCTATGGGGCTGTGCTGAGCCCTTCTGCGGGTGCAGGGAGGTTGGGTGTGTTCCCCTTCTCACCTCCCCTTTGCTCCCTGGCTTGTGGATGAGGAGAAGACAGGCATGGAAGAGTTGGGCAGGCTTTAGGCAAGAGCGCAGCAGGCTGGGGGGTCCGGGT